GGTCCAAGTTGCAGATTGCTAACCGCGCTGAACTTGCGGGGGAATGTTAGACTAAGTCAACTAGTCTAGTTTATATTATTAATATTGTCTAGGGTCCAAAGTGTAATTAGTTTTACCTATATAAGGTGTATCAAATTATTATTATTTTTCAATCAATACAATCAATATCAAGTTTTATAGGCACATTGGGAGGCAGATTCACGTGTTGTGCGTTACTTGAAGTCTGCTACTAGCCAAGGATTGTTCTTTTCCGCCAATAGTGACTTGAAGCTTAGGGCTTTTTGTGATTCAGATTGGTTAGGATGTCCTCTTACGAGGAGATCTACCACATGGTACTATGTGTTTTTGGGATCAGCCTTGACCTCATGGACATCAAAGAGACAACAAATAGTCTCTCTTACTTCAGCTGAGGCAGAATATCGTGCAATGGCTGGCACGTGTTGTGAGCTCAGATGTTGCGTAGTTTGCTTAGGGTCAACGTTTGGTAAGACATGACAGGACAGGACAGAACTGATTAAAATGACCAATTTACCCCTAATGTTATTTTGCTTATGTACTAAGTTAAAACATATGCAAAACAGTTTCCCAAGAACTTATTACTGTCCTTAGCAAGATTGGAGGGATTTTGCTTGGGAGTGAACAAACAAATGGGTATTGTTGAAGAACTGATGGGTATTCAAGATAGTCCATGAATCCAACAAGACCGTAGATCAACCAAGCAAAATAGAAATCATACAAGCAAAACAGTAGCAAAGAATATGGTTAATGAAATGCAAACAATAGCAAAATCGAACACTTTTAAACCCATTGCACTTGCTGTCGAGTTATGCAAACAGTACCAAAATCGAGTAGATAAACCCATTGCCCTTGCTGTTTCAGATATAGTTATGCAAATCAAAGTAGAAAACAGCAAAATCGAGTAGAAAACAGCAAAACCGATTAGAAAAATCGAGTAGAAAACAGCAAAATCAAAAGTTCAGAGGGCACTTTTTGCACTTGCTGTCGAGTTATGCAAAATCGAAAAACAGCAGGGTTCTTCTAAACGATCGATGGAGAGGAGAGATCGATTACCTGAGAGTATGGAGAAAGGAGAAAGGTCGAACGATTGGTGCTGTCGATTTGTGAAGGGGAACGACTCTGTCCAGGCCGCCGGCCGCCGATTGATGAAGGAGACGGTAGAAAATGGAGGCGACGTTGTGAAGATGGAGGGTAGATAGGTCAAATGTTTCTTGTTCTAGTTAGTTCCATGGGGGGAAGGGTGGACTACTGTGTCCTACCCGTGTTCTACCTTGTTCTAGTTAGTCCCACATAAAACCACACCAAACATGGGACAAATGTGTTCTGTCCTCTGTTCTGTCTACCAAACGCACCCTTAAGGATTTGGATTCTTACATCGTAAGGCAGCTTCGCTATATTGTGATAACAAAGTGGCTATAGACGTAGCCGCCAATCCAGTGTTCCATGAATGTACGAGACATATAGAAATTGACTGCCATTACATAAGAGACTAGATAGAAGACGGCTCGGTGGAGACAAAGTTTGTGACGTCTGCAAATGATGTGTTAACTAAGCCTCTTGGCAAAGAGATTTTTATTCCTATGATTCACAAGTTGGCAGTGCAAAGCATCCACTCTCCAACTTGAGGGGGAGTGTTAGAAAGGAAAACTTTTTTTGGTCTCTTTTTCCTAGCTGTCAGTATTAATTCCATATCAATCTAGATAGAAAGTATTGATTGTCTAGGCTGTGTTTCCTAATTCTGTGATCGTGTATAGCTATAACTTTTATATATATATTCCATAGCTGTCAATACAGAAATAAATTACAGCCTTGAATCATATTCTCCATATTTCACTATTGTGATTATAAAAATGAAAAACTGAGGAACATCCTAGTATTCATTAATTTGTACGGTATGCACATATGCATAGACTATCCTGTATAAACACATGCATAGAAACCAGGAAACATTTTCAATTACTTGTATGCACATGTTCATACTCTAAAAATAACGGTTATTAGAAAATGTTCCTTGTGTTTTCATTTTTTGGAGGTTTTTCCGTGAATCTCACTCTGTGTGTGTGTATATATATATGTTTGTATGTATATACATATCTATATACATGCATGTGTGTATATATTATTATATGTACGCGTGCCTATGTATGTTTTCAATTTATAAAAGACAAGGAGAGGATAGGACAGTTATGTTAATGCCCCTAGAGCATCACAGTTAGTTCCAGGGAATGGTTCGAGTCTAACAGCCGTAGTTTGGGAGTTGCAATTCCTTTGGGATTGGGATTGGGATTGGGATTGGGCTCGGTTAAGGGTTTGCCGGTTATGCATAACAGTTATATTATCTTTTCTTGATAAAGGTGGTAATTTTGCTACAGATAATCAGGGAACCAGCGCTAGATGAAGGGGCACTAGATGCCTTCGTTTCGATTGTGACTGGGCCACCAGGGCCAAACCCGGTGCAATTGATGCCAACAATTAAGCTACCAGTCCTGATCCTCTGGGGTGATGAAGACCCATTTACGCCTCTTGATGGGCCTGTCGGTAAATATTTCTCGTCCCTACCGTCTCAAGTTCCAAATGTGTGTCTTTCTGTTCTACAAGGTGTCGGACACTGCCCTCATGATGACAGACCAAACTTGGTGCATCAGAAGCTCATCCCTTGGCTGGCAACTCTTCCTCCTTCATAAAACCATTCTTTTCGGCATGTATATATATATATATATATACAAGTGTATAAATACATCGATTCTTATATACATACATGTTTTGTATTTCTTTGGTCTGTAGAATGAAAAATAAATTAAAATCTTGTTTTTGGTTGCTTTATTTTTGCTTCCTAAAATGAAATGGTACTAGTACCGAATACGTTAACTCTTTAACATTTTCTTATTACTTGTAGAATATCACATGGTACTTCTATGACCCTGCATCCCCAAGTAGTAACATGTCAAAATGCTTTTAATTGACTTTTTGCACCAACATTTTGAGGAATTTCTAAAAGGGAAATTAATTAAAATATCTATTTTAAACGTATGGTTTTTTATCTTATCCGATATAGGTGAAAGAGTGAAATAAATTTGTGTTTACAAGAAGCATACTCGTGTAATGTAACGAAATACATCTTGATTTAAAGTTGTGGATTTTATAATATGTTTTTGTATGATTTTGAGAAAACGATAATGTTTTTATATTTAAATAAAATAGAAATATAACGACCCCATAAAAATTTATATCGATATTTAATATCAAATAATAATTTAAAAGGTTCTTGTTTCTTTATAATAGTTTAATAAGGAAGTAATTTATTTTAAGATTAATAATATAATTTTTTTATAAAGATAATTTTTAGTTTAATTTTTTAATTATAATTTAATTTAGGTTTAGTAACGAATTAATTTATTATTAGGCTTTATAATATTCTTTATACAGATAATAATTAATTATTTTGTCAAAACTCAATAATTATCATAATTATATTTTAGATTTTTTGTATTTAAAAAGTATGTTTATCCTATATTTAATTACGTTTATTAGTTAGTTATATGAAATCAAACATAAAGCTTTAAAAAGTTGTATTCATACACCATTATTTGTAAACAATCATTGCATAAAAATTAAAAGTAAAAAACAATTTAAGAAAGAACATGATACTTAACAAATACAAAACAATAAATTATTTAGTATTTAAATAATAATTGTATAAATCTATACTTATAATAGATAATTAACATACCTGGAGACTTTAGTGCAATTTATTGATTGTAAAGAATGTCATCTGCTAGTATTGCCATGTTTCTTGTCAAACAACCTCTGGTCTAGACACACTGTTTGAAATCAGCATGGTTGCAAATAAGAAGTGTAGATAAAAACCCGATCCGGTTAAACTTGCTTCTTGAATGGCATCAGTATATTCTTTGTCATCATATAAGAGCCCAAGAGCATAACATGCATCCCTAAAGTAGGAAATATATTTTTATTTACTGTAAAAATGTCTTCGAATGATTTAGAACCTTTCACTTTATTCAAAAGAATTTTTAAAAAATATGCTTCTCCTAGAGTAGGAGAAACTGAATGAATTCTTCCAATTGTGAAGCCCTTTTTCCTTCGATCCCAACGTCGCTCTTCCAGTTTCCACATAAACTCTGTAGGGAATTCAACGTAAGTGAGTTTTCGTGCTTCTTGATAAATTTCATTACACTTCATCCAAGCTAAGAACATTGAAGACGCTATAGATGGTTTGTTTATGACATTTTCAATATCATCTTCAGCACCAAATACGACTTGTTGTTGTCCAGGAAGATGGAAAGGAAGTCTCAAAACAAAAGGAGTCCTGTAATGAACATCGTACCCAAAAATAGGCCATGAAGCTTCACATGCAGATACATATCTACAGTTATAATATTCCTTTATTTCATCAACATAATTAATAGTAACCTCATCCTTACTACTTTCTACAACAGCAACAATAGCTTTATCCGGACCTTTGTTGATGTATTTGAACAAATATTTGATCGAAGAATTCTGATTGCACCACTCAACATTAATGTATGCTTGATATCTTTTCAAGAGATGTTTATTATATGGAACAACATTTCTGTTGTCTAGTTTAACACCTAACTTTTCAACAAAACGTTCATCATTTCGTCTGTGATATAAAGGATAACCATTAACATCAATGGAAGTGTGTTCAGAAAATATTTTCGGATAGTTTTTTGTACACTTTCTATCAATCATGCAGGGACAGTTAATGTTCTCTTCACCACAAGGTCCATGGATCATGAACTCTTTTACAAGTGAGTACAAATCTGGATCTTTGTTTTTGTTTGGGATCTCAGCTGAGATAATAGGATGAATTTGTTCAACAGTAGATAGCTTGAAATCAGAGTGCATAAATAGACATATATGACTATGAGGCAAACCACGCTTCTAAAATTCAATTGTATAAACAACTACAAAAAAAGTCAAAATTTAAATTAATAAAAATATGATCTTAGTATGAAAATTTTATTAAAATTGTTATCATAAAATCAACATACATGCCTGAACTTTACCGAATAATGCACTATCTTTCAACTCTTTAATAAGTGCATCAAGCTTGATCTTAAATAAATGACAAAAGATAGCAGGCCTGTCTTCTGGATTTAGCATGGTGTCTTTAAGAAACCTTTTAATTTCTGGCCATTTAGGATTACATGTCATGGTTAAGAATAAGTGTGGATATCCATACCACTTACAAAGGGACATTGCATCCAAATAATTTTACATCATGTAGCGAGCACCACCGGTAAAAGAAGAAGGTAATATAACACGTTGTCCAATGTTTGAAGCATCCGACTCTCCTTGCTCTTGCACATTACGTAAATTATCACAAGTCTCGCACCTTAAAACCTTTTGTTGCTTACGTATGTAATGCAATCTCTCACTTTCAATAAATGTATAACCATCAATGATAAATTGCTGCAGAAGCCTCCTTGCATTGAGGATTAATGAAAACATATTTACCTTATCTTGAAGTTTGAAGGCAAATAACTCCCTCATTGTTACAGTTGGTCTTTTACTTTTGCTTGAAGATGTTATCTCTCTATGGGGAATGTCAACTCTATAACCAACTTCTCCATATGGAAACAACAACGAATATTGAAGAGGAAGATAAGAAGGATGTAATTCATTTATCTGTTGTAGCTAACTCGTTTGATGTTTTACAATGATATCTCTTTCTTCAATCATACCACCATCATCTCCAACAATCAAAGATGCAACCTCCGAAGTAGTTGGAAGGTTATATATTCTTCCATCCTTTTCCCGCCTTCCAATAAGCCGTAAGTTTAGCTTCACATTAGGGTTGCATTAGAAACAATCTCTTCCCATTCTATAAGACTTAACCAAAACATTTTGGGCATCTAGTATGTTATTCAAATATTGTATAATCTCAACATCAAGGGAATCAGAATTTGATGTAGACCCTTCTTTTTGTAAACTAATTACATCATAAAAAATATAAAATAGAAGTAACAATCAATATAACCATATTAGGGAATTCAAATAAATTTATTAAGAAGTATAAGGATGAATATATACCGAAAAGAACTGTCTATATGAAACTTCATTCTAAGTATCATATATGTATAGTTGAGAGAATTTTGGTTTGAATCCATTTGGTGGTAAAAGTCTGCTCATTCTATGGTAATTTTGACCGTTAAGTCTGTATATGTATGGAGCATTACCACTATTAATGGATGAATCAACTTTCCCACCCATTGAGGTAAATGAAAACATTGAATTATAACGTCGAATGTTTTTCATGAAGTACTTGCTTTTTGAATCTTCACAACAGAAAGATTTACGTAAACTGTAGACATTTCTTTTTCTTTGGGAAGCTCAAATTGTGCTGTAAAGGCAACAAAGTGAATAACTTGTTTTCATCCCACATTTTCCCCCCTAAGAGCTTCATCCCTCCACAATTTTGCATGGCAGAATTCACAGATAACCGTTTTATCACCGTGATCCAGGTACTCTGTTTAATAATATGTTTGTGAAATATTATAATAAATTCAATAATAATAAAAACTTTTGATTATGAAATAATCGATTAACCAAATGTCACCTTCATATATCCCTGCAATTCTGTTCGTAGGTTGTTGTTGATCATTTAATTATTCATCTGATGTCAAGTCAATTATGGGTATATCAGATAGATTTACAATCTTCTTTCGTAATCTATGTTGTCCTGTCAATAACTTCAACATGGAAGAAGTTTGCTCTATTGTCGATGAATTGATTGATCTCATGGCATTAGAAGACAAGGAATAGCATCTATTTAAAGAAAAAATGCCTGTTTCAAATATAAAAACTTAAGTAATTTGAAATACATGTTAAAATACAATTTGCAATTGAGTCATTATATTAACAATAAGATGTTAAATACATTATACATAACATTGGAACTATTAGATAATGGACTTTTGATAGTTATATTTGATGAAGAATATTGAATGCTTGTATGTTCATACTGACGATATGTATTTGGATCCATATTTTCATTATCATAGCAAACATTTTTGCTATTAGATGAAGATCTTAATCGCATTTGAGAAATGGGGATATCACCTGTAAAAAGAAACAGTAAATGATAATGAAAAAATTTACCTTGAAGGTGTTATTTGAAGAGTAATATTTTTTCTTCATTGAACATCATATTAAAAACTCTGTTGATTGAAGTACCTTCAATGTTTGATGACGTAGACATGGAAGACTGTTTACCACTATTCAAAATTATCTTTCTGAGTTTTCTCCTTTCTTTAGCATCCATGGAATCCATGATTTAGATAGACCTGTAAAAAAATTAATCATTTAATAAGGAAAGAGTAGATGAAGGCATTTGATCACAAATCGTTAGGAACAACAATAATAAGAAAATTGATGCAATTAATTAGTTCTCTTAGACATATGGTTATTAGTGTAGTTGGAAACAAAACATGTTTGTAATGATAATAATTATATAAGAAACAGACCTTTATATCGAAGAGGAAGTTTTGCAAACTGTAATGTACACGTGTCAATGAATCTTTACTAAATAAACTACTTCCCGGACTTATCAGCAGAATTGTGAACTCTTAGAGAACAAAATCTGCAGAGTTTGACTTCAGAAATATACTCGCCAAATAACTCTGAAGTATAACTCTGAAGGATGGTTATTCAGACTTGTACTCTTGAAATAAGGCATAAGTGAAAGTCTAGACTTCAGAGTAATAAAATCAATTACCAAAAGTAACAAACATTAGTGCAGACTTATTAACTATGAAATTTCCTCATTTAGATTTAGTTTGAATAAGAATGCAGACTTCAGACTTATTAACTCTGAAATATCCAGATAAGTAACTCTGAAGTGTAACTCTAAGGAGTAAGAGTTCACAGTTGATTTCTAAGTCTGTGAAACAACTCTCAAGTGTAACTCTGGAGAAAAAGATATCAGAGTTGTGATCTAATGGTGGGAAATAACTCTGAGAACAACTTTGAGGCACAAGAGTTCAATGTTGTCTTCTAAGTCGTTGAAAAAACTCTGAAAAATACCTGAGTACAAACTTAACAGTTCTTACTTTGTTGGGATTTCTTCATTCAGAATTACAAGTCTGATTAACTCCTAAGAGCAAGGGGTAGGAGTTCTTTGTGGAAAGTAACTTTGAACTGTTAGTTTGAATAAAGGTCAGAGTAGCTTTCTAAGTCCGGAAAAGAACTCAAAATAACTCTCAAGAGCAAGACTTCAGAGTTGTGTTGTCGAACTCTGAAGAACATTTAAGATATCAGATTTCTAAGTTTGAAGGACATTACTTAGAAATCAAACATTTGGTTATCTAAGTGTGTAAAAAAAACTTGTACAATTTAGACTTTGAATAGTGAAGAATAGAAATCCAGAAAAGAGACTATATGTTTGGAGAAGAACACTGCATAGTTCAAACTTGTACATTGATCATTATCAAAACAAAGAAAACACCATAATTGACACTATTAGGTTTGGTAGAAACTCTGAAAACCAAGAGTTTATAGCAGTCTTGTAAGTTTGGAAAATAAGTCTGAAGAGATGTCTTCTATGTCTAGAAAATAACTCCACATTATAACTCTTGAAAACAGATTACTAGAGCGGTGGGAGAAGTGTGTAATGATCAGACTTCTAAGTCTGAAGAACAAAAATCCAGAAATATGATATGTTTGGAAAAGCATATTGCATAGTTCAAGTTTCTACATTAACACTTTTAGGTCTGGTAGAAACTCTGAAACCCAAGAGTTTATAACAGTTTTGTAAGTTTGGAAAATAAATCTGAAGAGTTGTTTTCTAAGTCTGGGAAATAACTCCACTTTATAACTCTGGAAAACAGAATACCAGAGTTGTGGGAAAAGTTTATAGAGATCAGACTTCTAAGTCTGAAGAATATAAATCCAGAATGAGATATGTTTGGAAAAGCATACTATATAGTTCAAGCTTCTACATTCATCATTACCACAACAAAAAAACAACCATAATTCATACTTATAATTCAACAAAATAACTCTGGAAACTAACTCAGGTTAAATCTGGAAAACGAGAGTTTAGAGTTATTTTATACGTCTTGAAATAACTCTGAAGTTAAACTCTACAGACTTCAAAGTTCTGTATAGACAAGGCACAAGTGCTGCATGCACTATGCAGAGGCTCTGCATGCACTCTGAGAATAAATCTTATATTTCTTGAAATAACTCTAAGAATAAATCTGGAGGCCAATAGTTCAGAGTTGTCTTCTAAGGTTGGAAGTTCTTTTCAAAATATAACTCTAGAGAACTACAGTTCAGAGTTGTCTTCTAAGTCTGGAAAATGAGTTTGAGAATATCTCTAAAGCCCAAGAGTTCAGAGTTGAATTCTAAGTCTGTAAAATGAGTTTGAGAATATCTTTGAAGCCTAAGAGTTTAGAGTTGTCTTGTAAGTCTGGAAAATAACTCCACATTGTAAATTTGGAAATTAGTCTAAAGTAAAAGTCTTCACACTACAAAGCTCTATATAGGCAAGCCAGAAGCTCTGCATGGACTATGCAGAGGCTGTGCATGGTGCTCTGCATGGTGCTTTGTCTGGAAAAGAGGACTTCTGAATTTGGTTAAGCTAACTCTTAAAAATGACTCTTCAGACTTATACTCTGCAAATTAACTGCAAATGGTAACTTTGATTTTTTCTACTTTGGAGTTGTCTTATAAGGCTGGAAATTAACTACACATTATAACTCTGGAAAACAACAGACTAGAGTTGTCTTATAAGTCTGGAAAACAACAGGTCAGAGTTTTCTTCCAAGTCTGGAAAATAAGACCGAGAATAACTCTGAAGCTCAGGAGTTCAGAATTGACTTCTAAGTCTGGAAAATAACTCCACATTATAACAATGGAAAACAGAATACCATAGCTATAGGAAAAGACTGTGGGGACCAGACTTCTAAGTATGAAGAATAGAAATTCAGAAATGAGATATGTTTGGAAAAACATACTACATAGTTCAAGCTTCTACATTCATCATTCACATAACAAAGGAACAACCATAATTTATACTTACAATTCAACATAATTCTAAACTTCGATTACTTCAGACTTAGAAGTTTAAATATGAATATTTAGAGTTAAATTCTTAATCACCAATTTTACTCTGCTATGAAACTAAATGTCGTTTAGTAGGAAAATTAGTTAAAAATTAATTACTAAAATAATGGATTTAAAAATAGTAATTAAAACATAGAATAAAGAGAGTATCACGCACGCACAAATCGATGCAAGTTGGAAAGAGCATAAACTCATTTCAAGCTTTAGAGGGTCACTCCAACCGTCACTTTCAAAACTCTACATATATCACCTATATGTGGCCTTAGGGTTTTCAATACATCCCATCCGACATCCAATCTCTCTCTTTTTCTATATATAGACACACACACACACACACACACACACACACATATATATATATATATATACACGTGTGTATATGCAAAGTAAGCATACATGAAACAATATTAGGTTTATAGGAAGAAGAAGACGCAGCCAATTGTTTGTTCAGAAAGGAGACAAGTAGTGGTTTATGAGTGATGTTGGGTGGCTCGATGCATTCATCCTTTTTCTTACGATATTGTATAGAAGGGTGATGACATCGGACCAGGCTTCATTCCTTTCAAACCCTTTTGTAATAATCCCATGTCTTATAAGGTATTACCGGATGAGTTAATATCAGAAAAAAACTAAATCTTTAATATTATATGTTCTTGACTTGTATAACTCTTTTCAACTTTTCTTTTTGGTGTTCTTTTGAAGATGTTTGGTTTTTGTGGGTTTTAGAGACAGAAGGAAAGAGATGTGTAATTTGGTGATTATTAATTTGGATCTATTCATATATATATATATATATATACACACACACACTAAAATGCTCTATATAATTTTGGAACACTTTTTTCATATGGACTTGTGTTAATTTTCATATATCTATACTACCTTATAAAGCAAATTTTATACAAGTCTTAAAAACAATTTTTAATGCACAAAGTATCATACATTTATGCATAAAGACTTAAAAGTCTTCAAACCAAATCATAATGCATAAGATAGAAGTTGTCAATGTACCAAATTCCAACTCAGAATTCATTCTCCCAAGAGGCCGCTCCCGTCATATCGTCCCCAAGACCCAAGATGACGGTTCACAAATTGACATTCCCTAAGATGTCTATTCAATATCCAATGTGAGATTCATCGCTCAAAACCACTCCTGATTTAATTAATGATAGCTTCTCTCACACTGTTAGGGTTTCGCTTAATCTTCTCCGGATTTGAGGTTAGTACTTGTATTCTATAAATGTTCATTCATGTTAGTCCCGGCTAGGTCTACAAGAGTTTTAGATGAACAGTTTGTAGAAGGAGGGGGGGGGGATGCATACAAACACATAAAACTTTCAAATTTAAAAATATATATTGATAAAGAAATATCAATACAGATTTTTGCAAATTGTATGCGGAAATAGACAAGGTAAAGATAACTTATCTAAAACAATCTAAGATTATACACAGATATTCTTAGCAAAATAGAAAAGATTTGCTGAAAGATAAAAAAAGAAAGATGTTCTTCTTGGGTAAGAACTTTTAGAATACTTGAGAGGGATTCTAACTTGCTTGAAGATAAGCATAATTGTTCTTTTAGATGTATGCAAATATGTGTGGTGTATCTTCTGCATGGAGAGAGCATTCATCTATTTATACCCAATGCATTAAATGCAATTCTAGAAAGGTTTTAACATGCGTCAGGCTTTTGGAGGAAAACTTGTCATTTGCTATAGTGAATAGTATAGCTGCCTATTCATGAGCATGCATCCTTTCATGGAGTTGGTGGGTGATAGAGTCAACTAGTCGGATCCGTACCGTACTATACTCCAAAAAGGGTATGGGTTTGTCCTTTGTGTATGGAAGGACAAGAAAAAAACAACCTTACACAACAAGCTTCATTTGATCGCTGAATGATAGAATAACACCGAAGGTTTCTTAAGCATTCGCTGAGGCTTGGGTAATCTTCACACATATGTTGACCAGGCTGTAATCACTGAATGCCGCTTCATATCATGAGCGCGCCAATCACTGATCTTCAGTTTCAGTCTTCGACATTCACTGAAGGTTCTTTGGTGTGAGTTTTGTCTTCTTGAAGTATCGTTGTTGCTGTAGGATTTAAAATACATGTTTCAGCGATCACTGAATAGACTCAGTGATGATCGTTGGAATTAGAGATGGCCAAAATCCGGTCCCGGGCCAGTCCTTAACCGGTCCCTACTG